AAAAAAAAAAAAAAAGAAAAAAAAAACCAAAAAATGCGGAGGTCACTGCCATGCTGGTCTGATCCGTCGATACGGAGAGCTTCATGATCGAGGAAGATGTCATGGCTGTTGGCTACAGGATTGGAGAACTGTTTCAAGCATCGTACAAGTACCTTTCTTTCTGGATAATGATTCTGACAGCTTCCAAAGAAGAAAAGAACTGTTTTTCTCTCCCTCCCCACCTCCACTGGCGGATCCAATGCGAGGAGGGGAGGCGGCTCAGGTAGCAGCTGTTTTACTGTAGAAAAGTATGCTCGATACCCCGTGTCGCCCTTCGCCACCCCCTCCCCTTCTGCTGTCGCTACAGGTGGGGTGGGAAGTGTAGTGCGACGATGGAGGAGGAGTAACAGGGTGCCCAAGTCGGGAGGAGGGGGGAAGGAAAGGTGGGGCTTCCGGTGTAGTGACGGACGGAGGGAGAGAAAAATCGCTTTCCTCAGGAGACCGACCTGGATCCACCTATGCTCCGACTACTCTCTGTCACTTAAGTGGGTGATACTGGTATAGTGATAAAATTGAAGACATAAAATCCGAATTGCGCGGGTTCAAAAAAAAAGACAATGCCAAAAAGTACTTGGCCATATAGCCGATCAGTTCGGGAGGCCTCTTGCGCACAGGGATAAGTTCAGTGCCCATATCCATCCATAAGTGCCTTTCCGGCGCAGCGAACTGATAGTTGAACATTATTTTTAAAGCCAATGGATATGCCTAAAAAACGATAATTGCAAAAAAAATCATGAAAATTTTGCAAGATTTTACGATTTGGTTTTTTTGGGTGAGAAAAAATTATGGTAAAATTACTGGCTGAAGGAGCAAATTTGCCTCTTAACGGAAGTGAGAGAGAAAGTTATTTCTGAAATATGAAGAATAAAAAAGGAAATAATATTAAGAAATTAGTAAAAGTAGTAAAATTATTTTAATAAAATTATTATGACGGAGGGGATTCTCAGCTCTAATTGAATTATTTTACCAAGAATACCAAGATCGCCCAGGCAATCAATGCGGATATCTCATGTTATTGATTTATCAGGCCAAAAAAATTTGCTATTTTGTCAGTTGAGAATAACTATTTTGTTTAAAAAAAAAGTATTACTTACAATGAATGGATCTTCTGTATCAATCTGCTTTCGATGTGCAGTCGGTGACGAAGAAGTGCACGGTAAATTCGCGCAAACGGTGCCAAGCGGGGTTCGTTCTGCTTTTTCCACTGTACGTGCACGGGCTTCATAGACAGCAGCATGACAACCACAGGCGATAATGTTTCCTTCAAAAAAAAGCCACTTTTTAGTACGAAACGCAAAAATTAAACAGCAAGAACGGATTATGGGACAAAATTAAAATGTATGAAACTCGAAAAATTATCCCAAAAAAAGAGAAAAAGCGTAAACAAATCGAAAATAATGATTAAAAATAAAAAAAAAAAAAATGCTAAACGATGCTGACATAAAAAACAGTAAGTTGGGCAGAAACATAAATTATTAATGAATAAATTGGAAAATCAAAAAATTTCTGTGCAAC